AATGAGAAATCGAAAGTAGTGTTTTAAGATTATATTGATGGTAGATATTACAGAGTAAATATCAATTTTTCAAAAACCGATCGTTTACTTGAGACGAATCTTTCTTACCATTCTATCTTAATTACCTTGAAGAGTATAAAATGACTTATTAACTTCATTTGGATCCCAATTAGGCAGTGAACAACTGTGATCAGTCCGCAGAAGCGTTCAAATTCTTTCTTAATGATGGGATTATGTTTGGCATTTTCTCATCTGTCGGGGCAGAAATTGATAGATGATAGCTCCAACGTCATGAATCCATGTAAACGTGCATATTCTTGCGTGCGTATATATTCTTTGGCACTTATAATATACGTTCTTAAACGAAATCAGTGCATTATCATTGAGAAGCAGTGAAAAACAGCAGTATAACAGCGTTATACATTCGCGAAAAAGAATAATGTATTAACAGCATTAAACCACAAAGAAACTTGCGACAGTGCTGACATATTATTTCTTGATACTTTCAGTTCATTTTTTTCCTACAATTTACGATTTACGTTAATTACTTTGTTAAATAACAATTATGTTAATCACAAGATATAATTTTTCCGTACACGGAGAGAATTTTATTGGAAAATGTATCTTGAAAATCGTGTTAATTATAGGACAACATAAGTATTTCGATGAATTTTATGTGATCATCAATATTTTTTTAATATATACTACAACAACTTTATTGTAGTGTACAGTAAAATTTGTCGAAATACTACGTTGTCTCACGATTAACATGATTTTCAGGATAAATTTTAAAAGGAAATTCTCTTCGTGTAAAGTATGATTTATGAATGAGTATTCTTTACGTTAATTTTGTTAGCGTGTAAACTAAACATTTTTGATAAGAGCTACCAAGAAATTGGTTTCAAGCTTGACAATTAGATCCATCACCGAACTTCCACGAACAAAAATATAAGAAACTCACGATATCGTGATGTGTGCCGTTAAGCTTGATAATGACAAAGTTCTCATTGCAAGGTATAAGCGCCGACTATAAGATGCACCGACATAAAATCAATCATAAAGGAACACAGATCTTTCCAGGATATCTAAGTGTTTCATCGTCCCAAGCCTTTCATCATTTCTAGTGGGGCAATCAGTCATGTAAATATTCGCAATTTCTCGTGACTCACTACACCTATTACGCTTCCTCTCCCTCTGAGAGAATTTTTTATTAGACTGAAAATTGTGAGAGACGACATCGATGGCGCGGAAGTCAAAACCGCGTATTGAAGATGGATACGTCGAAAGATATCTTTCAGTCCCGATTATATAGACTCAATCGTAGGCTACTTTCATTGCTGGGGCAATGGCCCTTCCAAAAGAAAAGACACAGACGGATTATCTTGGTGACAGTGTCGTTTATTGGCCTAACGCAAGCTCTCGCCCAAGTACGTCTTCTACATTGCAATTTTTATTAATCGTCTACCGATCTTTATTCCTGAGATTTTTTTCTTCTTTTAATGACACCTAGGAAATTAAAACTTTAAAAATAAGAAAGATATGAAGACATATATTATAATATTAAAATGTAATTAATGTCAAAAATGTTCGAAATTATCAGAAAATCGATCGTGCTTTTATATTTTGCAAAACGAATGTTTTCGCTTTGATTTATCACGTTGGAAATATTGGTTTCAAGATACTCGCTTTAGTGACGTTACGCGACGATCTTGATGCAATGCTCGAGTGTATACCACCGCTCATAATAGACTCCGCGTGCATCATTAAGCTGACGAACTTGGTGTGCAATTCAGAAAGGGTATGTAGAAGATCGCGGAAGTGCGAGATCGTATTTATAAAAAAAAATTAAATTTCAAGTCGTAGATCAAGATGCTTCTTATACACATACAAAGGGATTGGCAATCGTTGGCTATCAAAAGCGAATTTGAAATTTTGCATAAATTTTCGGAGGCTGGACGAAGCCTTACCATCGGCTATGCCAGTAAGAAAGTGATATAACAAGTATTATTATATTCTATTAGGCGTTTGAAACCGATAGAATAATAATAAAATAGTTTTTTTTTTTTAGTTAAGTTACGTTAATAATTAATTTTATTCTTGCGTGACGTGTGACACACAAATAGAATATTTACTATACTGTTTCGCATCTAGTTGGCATGTATGCATTTGGCAGCCTCTTTCCGTTTCTCGCGATAATCCCAAAAATAATCGGCAAAAATGTAACTTCCGAATATGCGACGCGGCCAGTGGGATATCCGTATCACGTGGAGTACTACATAGACCTCGAAAAGTACTACTATCCCGTGCTGATTCATAATTACTTAACCAGTGCCATTCGTCTTACCACCATAGTCGCGTCGGATACCTACGTGGCTATTCTGGTGCTGCATTGTTGCGCACTGTTTTCAATCGTCAGGTACGTACTTAATGATTTTAATGATCGTCTCGGTAAAATATTCGAATGTTTCGTTTCGTTCCTTAGATTTCGACTAGAATATATACGAAAGTGCATCGAACAAGATAAGGTGCTCGCTTCGCTCAAGGAAAATGACAAGTTTTACAAAAATTTCGTATACTGTATACAAAAGCACATAGATGCTTTACGGTTAGTACATGCTTTTGCATAATTAAAATAAATATGGACATTTTTTTTATGTATTTCAAGAAAAGAGTTAATAAGGTTAATAAAAGATAATTATTAAATTTTCTCATTGAATAAGATTCGCGAAGCGCTTGGATACTGCTTACACAAAAGCGTTTTTCCTGGAAGTCGGCGTAGTTATATTGCTTATGAGTCTGTCGGCTCTACAGGTTTATGATTGAAATATCGTACAAAAATAATACAATAAATAGATACATATAATATCAATATACATATTAACATTGTATATTGATTTTGTGTATACTTAGGCAACCACTACTACCCTCAATACAGATCTTGCAATTCGGCACGGGGCGTTGATTACCGCTCAATTACTGCATTTGTATATGGCGTGCTGGTTGGGGCAGCAAGTAATCGATCATAGCGGTTGCGTGTACACATCGACGTAAGTCAAAGCTATCATACAGCTCCTATCCAATAAATTTAATATGAGTCGTGCAAATGTTCTGCACGAGAAACGAAATATAACCGCATTGAAAATTTTTTATTTTTGTGATACACATACCTAATAATAAAGTTCTCGATACAAGTTACCGAGGTGAATGGTATGAGTCATCGCCCAAGTCAAGGAAGCTCTTGAACATGATAATGCTGAGAAGTACTTCGCCTTGTACACTGTCTGTTGGAAAAATCATGAGTCTCTCTCTTCCGAGTTTCAGCGCAGTAAGACTTGTCATAATTTTTTCTACTTATTATTTCTTTGTTGATATTTTCGACTTTCTTTTTCTTTTCTTAGGTTGTACGTGCATCTGCCTCATATTTCACAGTTTTACAATCCGTACGGTAATCTAGAATTTTCGAAATTTTTCTCTTCTGAAAAATGTAAAATTATTATAAATACGAAAACAGCGTATAATATTTTAATTAATAGCGAATCAAAGTTTATATTTACGAGAAAATAATTAAATACAAAAATAACTAAACTTTTACTTTTATCTTAATTGCTGATTAACACATCTCTCTTCGTATTTTTAATAAAAAACATAAATACAGAAAACTTTTAATAGCAATGTGTAACACAAAACAGACCTTTACTAATCCTTATATCTCACAAAACTATTATTTTCTAATGTAGCCGATTTCGAAGCTATATATTCTCCTATAAGTTTTGAATCGACTCTACATACGAATAAAATTTTCATACCTCTTTTGCGTGCATCAAATCCACTAAGACAATATTTTCAGTGTGACTTAGAAGTTCCCCTTCTCTCTATAATTGCGCAATTTCTATAAGATAATCTTGCGACTGTATACGACGTGCGGCTTTGGTTTTTGCCGCGAAAACACGTTTGCGATAAATATGTCAGTCGTGTATTTTGGATTTTACGATAATCAAACATAAAACGGAATTCTCAACAGGAGACCGATACGAACTATATTCTATGGTGAATTTCGCTTTTGTAACAGCAAAAGATAAGAGATAGAATGGGCGATATCGAACAGTTTTTCCAAGACTCGCATTATAACATCATTCGGGTACTACTGAGTATTAGTGGCCTATGGCCCTTTCATACACGAAACAGACGTTACGCGATATATCTTGCTATGGTACTGATACTCGGATCTGGATTTATATTCGAGGTGAGTTGAAGATGGACGCCTATTTTAAGACAATATTACATGCGTGTACTGTTTTAACTTGTGTGTATTAATGCGCTATCTTAAAAAAAATAGAAAAACAAAATATTTTTTCTTACATCGATAACTATAAAATATTCACACCTAAATTTTGACATAATTAAGGTAAATTACGGGCGGTTTAATTAAAATTATTTGTTATATGATATGTGTGTAACGAAATCGACGGGAAACGCAGATGATGGGTGTAATTGAAGCCAGGTACGATTCCTTCGAAGTGATCGATGCTTTGCCGTTGTTTTGTTACGCTATTGTGACCCTAAGCAAAACGTGCTATGCAGTATATACGTTACCAAAGGTGTGTAAATAAAATGGCATCGTTTACTTTACGCTATCGATGAAAGATTAATTAATAAAAGTAATAATAATATGTTTTGCAAATGATGCAAGGTTATATTTAATTCATAAATCTTTTTCGAGTAATAGATAAAAATGCTTCTAATAAAGATGCAAGAGCTCTGTCTTTCCCCAAAGTCGGACGAGGAAACTAAGATACAGAACTCGCACGCGCGATATGGGCGAAAATTAGGCTACATTTATATGGGTGATTTTAATAGTATAATCGGGCTTAACATTAATACAGTAACAATACTAAAAGTTCGAGCACATTTGTGTAAATTTCATTTTCTTAATGATTTTTTTTTTCTTAATGATCTACACTTATTATATCATGATATTTCTAAATATTTTTAAAAACATTTGATAATTGATAAAGTATTAAATTATTATACAATTTTTTACGGCGGTAATCATGAATTATGAAAATTTTTCTGCAAATTAGTTTTCTTACTAGGCTTTAGCGCACTTTATCAACTTTCGACATTAGCGATGAGACTTCTCTACGCGGAATCCAAAGAGACTCATGAGACATCAAATAAAGAGCAAATAGGACTGCCTCATCGCGTTAATTACATGGTCGATTTAGACACCTATTATTATCCAATTTTTATTCACAGCGCCGTATGCGATTTTTCTCTCGCGTTCTTACTAGTTGTGTTCGATGTTTTGTATCTGACAGTGGTCGAATACTGCTGCGGTTTGTTCGCGTCTTTGAGGTGAGTCTAATGAACGGCTCAAGTACATGGATTCTATAAAGATGCGAGTCCAATGCTAATTGAGATAATTTATTTGTTGAGAGAATCGTTGTTTCTAAAAATGTTTGTGTTAATATTGAGCTTAGATATCGGTTGGAAACCGCGTTAATCTTCGAAAACGATAGGTCGACGATGACAACTACGAGGGATAAATCTTACGCGAATATCGCATACAGTATTCGTAGACATACAGAAACAATGCAGTGAGTATATGTCTGAACGTTTGATATCTTATTTTTTTGTGCAAATAATAATTTAATATGTTCGTATGTATTATGTTAGATTTATTGCTATTATGGAATCAGTATACAGCTTACCTCTCTTAATACACATTGGATTAACCGTATTAATCATAAGTGTCCTGGAATATCAGGTATGTCTGATAAAAATTCTCTAGCTGTAACAGTTTCAGGATATACATTGTACACAAATTACTTAACAAAATATTTAATAAAATTAACTAAATTAACTATACTTATTATGTTTTATTAATAGGTGTTAAACAACATGGAACACATTAATCGTCTTATAAAACCCACTACCTATTTAGCCGCAATTTTAATTAACGTATTCTTCGAAAATTGGCAGGGTCAAAAAATCATAGATTCCAGCGAGAAAGTGTTTGAATCCGCGTACGTTTTGTGTAACATTAAAAGAGCAGCATATTTGCAAAATCACGAGATAAAAATATAACGAAACAGCAAAAAGATAAATGCTTAATATAATTTTGAATATAGGTTTCTTATAAAATTTGCAGGTATAATACAGAGTGGTACAGTATGCCGGTAGCGGCAAGAAAGCTTCTCATAATGATGATGATGAGAAGTGAAAAACCATCGACATTAAAAATGGGTAAAATCGTTGTATTGTCACACATAACTTTTAACACGGTAAGTATAATTATTTTATAGTATGTATATGCAATGACTCTACAAAAATAAAATTTTGTTTAAGGTATTGCGTACGTCATCGTCATACTTTATGCTGCTACGGTCTCTGTAATGAAATTTTGAATGTAATATCATTCATCACATTCTAGTAATAGACAGAAATGAGATCTTATAAAAATGCATATAGGATAACTTTTTCTTCCAGTGCCTTTTTTGTAGATAATTAAATAAAAATCCCATTAATTTCTGAGCTGAAGAAAAATTGATAGAATTGTAAAAAAATATTAAACTAATATTTTTTTTAATAGCAATTAATTCCCATGCGCGGTGATGTGTAACAGCTGCCAATTAAAATACTTAAAAATTTATTTATTTTATTAATATTTACATTATTAATTTCTTAATATAAATTAAGGATAACATATACTTGATATACCATGCTCGAATTCAGGCAGCTCTTGAACGTGGTAATTGAGAAGCACTTCACTTTATATGTTAGCTCTGTTAGAAAGACCACAATTAAATACGAAAATACTTGTACTTTTATCTTTTGACAAAAAAAAAGTTCGTATTTCTAATAAAAGTACATCAAGCATTTAAAAACAATATGCAATACAACCTTTGATAAGTTTATACCACGCAGTAAGACTGTCATTTTCTAATATAACCAATTTCAAAGTGGCTATATCTTCACGTAACAGTCTGAATCGACTCTACGTGCAAATAAAATTTTCAGTGTGGCTTTCCCCCTTCTCAGTGATTACGCAATTTGCATAAGGTAATCTCGCGACTTTGTACCACGTAACGGGTAATTTTGGTTTTGCGACACAAACGCGTTAGCGATAAATACGTGAGACGTATATTTTTGATTTTACCATTTTCTGGCACTGTCTACCTTACCACATTAAACGGAATTCTTAATAAGAGATTGATGCGAATTACACTCTGTGCTGAAGTTGAACCACCACAAAGGCTCTGTATTTCGCTTTTGTAATAATAGCAGCAGAAGGGACACAGAATGGGTGATATTGATCAGTTCTTTCAGGATTCGCATTATAACATCATTCGAGTACTATTAAGTGTCAGTGGTCTATGGCCCTTTCATTCGCGAATCAGACGTTACGGGATATATCTCACTATGTTGTTGGTACTCGGATCTGGATGTGTATTCGAGGTAAGCTCAAGATAAACGCGTATTATTTTTAAGACGGTATTGCACGCGTGTACTATTGTAATTTCTACTGCGCTATATTCTTCCAAAATAATGAAAAAATTATATATATTCTCGTAAATTGTTCTGTTAAATGTAAAATATTTAAATCTAAACAATAAGTGCATTTGACATTAAGGTAATTTACGATCGGGCGGTTTAATTAAAATTTAAAAATTAATTGTTACATAACATGTGCGTAATAAAACGGAAAATGCAGACGTTGGGTGTAATTGAAGCCAGCCAGGATTCGTCCGAATTGATTGATGCCGTGCCGATGTATTTCGTGTGCATAGTGAGCATAATTAAAACGTTCTGTGCGATATATACATTACCACAGGTGTGAAAATAAAAATGGCATCGTTTATAGTTTATATTTTGCTATCAAAAAAAGATTAATTAAATGTGTGATAATAAAAATAATAAGTTCATAAAACAATACAAAATTATATCTTATATATTTAAATTTTTTTCGAGCAATAGATAAAAATACTTCTAATAAAGATGCAAGAGTACTGTATTTCCCCAATATCGGACGAGGAAAGAAAGATTCAGAATTCACACGCGCAATACGGGCGAAAGTTAGGCTACGCTTATGCGGGTGACTTTAACAGTATAATCGGGCTTAACATTAATACAATAATAGTAAAGTCTCGAGCACATTTATATATAAATTTCATTTTCCTTAATGATTTTGATATGACACCTGGCATATTTAAATATTTTTAAAGACATTTGATGATTTATAAAGTATTAAATTATTATGCAGTTTTTAACGACGACAATCGTGAATTATGAAAGTTTTTCTGCAAATTAGGTTTCGTACTAGGCCATAGCATTGTTTATTTAATTGCAACATTTCTGGTAAGACTTTTCTACGGGCAACCCAGCGGAACTGATGGGTTATCAAAAAGATTGCCGAATTCCCAAATACCTCATCACGTTAATTACATGATCGATCACAATAAGTATTACTATCCAATTTTTCTACACGCAGCTATATGTGATGCTTCATATACGTTTTTAATAACTACATTCGATGTTTTGTATATAACATCGGTCGAGTATTGCTGCGGTTTGTTCGCGACTTTGAGGTAAGTCAAATGAACGATTATGGTTTAAAATTATAGTTTCTGTTATGCAAATCCAACGCAAATAATAGGACAGTTTATTTGATGATACTTGTTCCAAAAGTCCTTTTTCTATCATTGTGATAAAATTGAGCTTAGATATCGATTGGAAATCGCGTTCGATAAAAATAACGATTTCGGTAACGATAAAACGGCGATGACAAAGGATACATGTTACTCAAATATCGTCTATAGTATTCGCAGGCACACAGAAGCGATACAGTGAGTACACGCGTTTAGACGTTTAACATTTATTATTATCGTATATAAGCAATAATAACATGTTACTATCTTCGCGTATGTTAAACCAGATTTGTTGCCATTTTGGAGTCAGTATATAGCATATCTCTCTTTATACAACTTGGAGCCATTATGATTTCTATAAGTTTTCTAGGATATCAGGTATCTGACGAAAATTCTTTAATAAGATTGCAACCATTATATATAGAATATGCTTCTATTACACGCGTACAAATTACTTAACAAAATAATTAATAAATTTAATTAATTATATTTACTATATTTTATTAATTATTTACTTTGTTGTTATATAGGTGATAAACTACACGGAAAACGCTAATCGTCTTATAAAACCTGTGCTTTTCCTAAACACAGTTTTTTTTAATGCATTCTTCGAAAATTGGCAGGGTCAGAAAGTCATAGATTCCAGTGAGAGAGTGTTTGAATCCGTGTACGTTATGTATAAAATTAGCAGTAGCATTTGCAAAATCACGAATCATACTATAAAAATGAAATAGCAAGCAGATTAATACATAATATAACTTTAAATAGCTTTCTTGCAAAATTTGCAGATACAACACAGAATGGTATAGTATGCCGATAGCAGCGAGAAAGCTTCTTCTAATAATGATAATGAGAAGTGAAAAACCATCGATAATAAAAATGGGTAAAATGGTTAATTTATCATACGTAACTTTCAACGCGGTAAGTATAATTATTTTGAAGAATGCATATACATGTACGTGCAATAGTTTTATAAAAATTAAATTTTGTTTAAGGTGTTGCGTACATCATCGTCATATTTTATGCTACTACGATCTCTGTAACAAAAAGTTTTGAACATAATCGACGAAATTTATATATATATATATTATTATTCACATTCTAGTAACAGATAGAAATAAAATCTTGTATGATTGCACGTTCATAAAATAATCTTCCTTTCGTTTCTGTAGATAATTAAATAAAACTGTCAAAAAATTTAATAATTTTTAAATTTAAAAAAAATTAATAGAACAGTTTAATTCTACAAGCAGTGATGTATATATGACAATTGTCAATTAAGATACTATGTTACTTGTTAACAAAATTATTTTATTTTATTATTTTACTAATTAGTATTAGTAGAACTTAAGAATAGTATATACTTGAGATATAAAAATAAGTAAACTAATTAAATAATTTAAATAATTAAATTACATTTTATGACATTAAATTTAAGTCCAATAGTCGCAATTCGACATACCGCGTATTTACTGTTCAATGACTTCGTTTATATATCGCATGTTGGTTGGGGCAGCAAGTCGATTATAGCGATCGTGTGGACACATTGACGTAAGTTGATAGCATACAACTACCATCCAATGAATTTAATACGAGTTATGTAAGTCTACACAAAAACGAAATAACTAACTTTTACACAAATTTTTCAATTGTGACAAATATAATAATAAAGTTTTCGATGTAAGCTATCAAGAGTTACGAACCATTGCTCAAATCCAAGAAATTCTTGAATATATGATAATTGATAAGCATCATACATCACCTCATACGTTGACTGTTAGAGAAGTCATGGTTATTTTTTTTCCGGGTTTCAAAATAATTTTGTCATAATTTCCTTTATACGATAATTTTCTTATCGATATTTTCAAGCAATTAATTGTTTTTTTCTTATATCATAATTCTTAATGCATCTATTCTTACGATTTGTACGGTAATCTAGAATTTTCAAAATTTTTATTTTCTAAAAAATCTAAAATTATTAACAATACAAAAACAATAAATAATATTTCACCATTTAAATAACAGTAGATTGATGTCTATATTTACAAAAAAATAATTAAATTACAAAAAATATATCAATATTTATACATGCAATTTTGTCTATAAAAAATCTATTTAATAAAAATAGCAATATGTAATATTTTTGTGACTTTTGATACGGTTATTTACAAAACTTTATCTCACGAGACTGTTATTTTCTAATGCAACCAATTTTGAAGCGGCTGTATCTTCACATAATGATCGATTCCACTTGCAAATAAAATTTTCATACTTCTTTTGTCAATGTCCACTAAGACAATATTTTCAATATAGCTGTTTCCCTTCTCTATAATTTTCGCAATTTACATAAGATAATCTTGCGACTTTACAGTGGGTGATTTTGGTTTTCACGACACAAACAAACATAATAGATGCATGCATTTCTGATTTTACGTCAACTGACATTAAACGGAATTCTTAATAGAAAAGGCTGAAGCAAGTTATACCTTGCGTTGAAGTTGAAGTATCATATAACGTACTGAATTTCCCTTTTGTAATAATAACAGCTGGAGATACGAGAGAGAATGGATAATATTGATCAATTCTTTCAGGATTCGCAATATAATATCATTCGAGTGCTACTAAGTGTCAGTGGTCTATGGCCTTTCTATACGCGAAGCAAACGTTACGCGATATATCTCGCTATGGTGCTAGTATTCGGATCTGGAATTTTATTCGAAGTAAGTTAAAAAACGCATATTTTTCAAAGATAATATTACGTGCTGTATACTAGTAGTGCAGCTTCCATTATTGCTCTTTCATTCAAAAAAATGTGTGTAAAAAATAATTGTCTCTCTTTATGTCATTTCTTGAAGTTATCTCTAGTACATAAAATTTCTCATTCGCTTTTAAATGCAATTAACACAATTAATATAATTTATATACAATATCGGGCGATTTAATTTAAATTATTGGTTATACGTAAAATGTAAATAACACAAATTGCAGATATTGGGTATAATTGAAATTTGGCACGATCCCTTCGAAATGATCGATCAGGTGCCAATGTTATTTTTCACTATGTTGACAATGAGTAAAACGTTCTGTGCAATATATACATTACCACAGGTGTGTAAATAAAAATGGCATCGTTTATAGTTTATATTTTACTATCGATAAAAAATTAATTAAATGTGGAACGATAAAAATAATAACAATATGTTCATAAAATAATGCAAAATTATATCTTATCATATATTTAAATCTTTTTCGAGTAATAGATAAAAATGCTTCTAATAAAGATGCAAGAATATTATCTTTCCCCAAAGTCAGACGAAGAAACAAAGATACAGAATTTGCATGCGGTATATGGGCGAAAGTTAGGCTACGCTTATACGGGTGACTTTAACATATAATCGGATTTAATAAAAATACAGTGCAGTAACAGTGTCAAAATTCCCAGCATTTATATATACATTTCAGTTTCTAAACAATTTTGAAAGACACTTGACATATCTCTCTCACAGTACCTTTAAATATTTTAAATTAAATTATTATGCAGTTTTTTGTCAACGATAATCGTGAATTATTAAAATTTTCCTGCAAATTAGGTTTCTTACTAGGCCATAGCATCCTTTATATACTTTCATCATTACTGACAAGATGTTTCTACGTCGAACCTACCGAGATTAATGGATTATCAAATAAAGTGTCGAAATCCCAAATAGGATTGCCTCATCGCGTTAATTACATGGTTGATCTAGACACGTATTACGTTCCAATTTTTATACACTGCGCCATATGCGATTTTTCATTTGTGTTCTTAATAACTGTAGTCGATGTTCTGTATTTGACAGTGGTCGAGTACTGCTGCGGTTTGTTCGAAGCTTTGAGGTAAGGCTAATGAATGAATTGTATGGTTTAAGTATACGGATATTCAATAAAAATGTCTAAAATAAAAATCTAACGCGAATAATGAGACGGTTCATTTATTGATACTTGTCCCAAAAGTCATTTTTCTAAATTTTGTGCTAATATTGAGCTTAGATACCGGTTGGAAGTAGCGTTAGATTTTGAAAACGACAAATTGATGATGACAAAGGATAAATCTTATTCGAATATCGTGTACAGTATTCGTAGACACATAGAGACGATGCAGTGAGTACACGTTTAGAATATTTAGACATTTAGTATTTATTATTTTTGGGTGAGCAATAGAAACAAATTAATATGCTTGTGTATGTTAAAGATTTGTTGCCATTGTGGAATCAGTATACAGTTTATCTCTCTTTGTACAGATGGGTATGATCGTAATTCTTATAAGTTTTCTGGGATATCAGGTATACCTGATAAAAATTCCTTTATGATTGCAATAGTTCTAGAACCAAATATGTGTTGTTACCTCGCATAAATAAATTACTTAAAATATTTAGTAAAATTAACTTCAACTATATTAATTATAATACTCTATATTTAACTAATTTAACTGTACTTATTATGTTTCTTTAATTATATATTTTATGGTTATATAGATGGTAAACGATGTGGAAAACATTAATTTTTTTAAACCCGCTGCTTTTCTAAATGGAGTTTTAATTAACGTATTTTTTGAAAATTGGCAGGGCCAGAAAATTATAGATTCCAGCGAACAAGTATTTAATTCCGCGTATGTTTTGTATAATATCAGTAGTAGCACATTTGCAAAATCACAAGTCGTATATCTACTGAAAACTAATGAAATAGCGAGCAGATTAATATGTAACATAATTTCGATATTTCTGGTAAAATTTGCAGATATAACACAGAGTGGTACAATATGCCGATAGCAACGAGAAAGCTTCTCATAATGATGATGATAAGAAGTAAAAGACCATTGATGATAAGAATGTGTAAAATAATTGTATTGTCATATCTAACTTTCAATATGGTAAGTGTAATTATTTCATACATATATATAATGTAATAACTATACAAAAATAAAATTTTGTTTAAGGTATTGCGTACATCATCCTCATATTTTATGCTACTACGCTCTCTGTAACAAAAACTCTGAACGTAATTGAGTTTATTTTTACGTATTATCGTCCATCACACGTTAGTGATAGACAGAAATAAGCTCTATACGGTCGCACATTTATTTCATTAGGATACATTTTTCTTCCAGTATCTTTTTTTAGATGATTAGACAAAATTATGGAGAGAGAGATTCATCAGTTTCTAAGATATTATTAAAGAAAAATTTTTTCAAAAGAAAACAAACGTTAATCTGTTTAACATTATCACATATTTATCAACTAATTAAAGAAATTTTTTATTTTCGATTAATTGTTACTATATTAAGAAATTTTTGCATGTGTGTTAAAATCTTGATAAGTAAATTATAAATATTTACTAGTAGTCTACGATAAATCAATATACGTATGTCGCATGCGAAAAGCTCTATGGTAAAATTAACGTTGAAATAAAGTATTTAAAATGTTTTCATTAATAACAGGAAATAAAACAAATTGATCGAAGTACTTCCACCATCCCAACATATCTTATTATTTAGGAGGGAAGACATAAAAAGAAATGAGATTTTATAGACTATTCATTTCTTTTCTTTTCATGGCAATAATTCGTAATTTAAATAATGTTCTGTTAAATCTTATATTATGAAGTAGAAAATTTATAAGAAAATTTATATTAAATTATCTAAATATAATTTCTTATTATTAAATAATCTAAACGCAATAATTATAATTCTTATCTTTTAACACTTCTATTGAAAAGTAATCTATAATATTTTTCACTAAAAGTGTATACTAAAATTGAATATATGACCAAATATACTATATTTTACTTTCCTTGATTTTAATGCTAAAACGAGTATTAACAGTTTTCATCAGTCAACATGTGGAGCAAATCGATAAGAGCTCTTTTCACTGACATCAGAAAACTGCCGTATGTCAAAGTATTCTGTTTCGACGAAACTCGCAAGAAAGATACCGCTTTCAATCATATAGATAATTTTAAAATTTTGTAATTTTGCGATCGATCGTAAATGCAGGTAGCGCTAGTGATATCGTAGAAGAAATATTTTGATTGCGGATGCATGGCAAGTGTACATGGCAATCGACATGCATAAACGGAATCTTTTATGAGACAACAAAAGACGTATTCTATATTCTCCCCCTATAAGTCAAATGTGAATTTCGCTCGCATAAAGTGGTAGCGGCGAACGGAAAAGATGCATGATGTCGACGAGTTCTTTCGGAAGTCGTACTATAGTCAGCTTCGCATTCTGTTGCTCCCATGTGGCATATGGCCTTTTCAAGCGTTAAACAAACGTCGCGCGGTGCACGTCGGATGCGCGTTTCTTTGTGTATTCGGAATTTCGTTCGAGGTATTTATATAAAAGAAGCAGAAAAACACAGAGTTGAATTTTTTTTTTTCCCAAAGCATTGTGTACATTAATTGTGTAATTTAATTGACCAATTAAATTAACTAATTTTGCTAATTTAGTAATTTTATTAATCTGCGACAAACACAGACGCTGTGTATGATTAAGGTCTGGCCAGATTTTTTTGAGATATTCGATTGCCTGTCACTGCTGTTTTTCTGCCTCGTATCAACAATTAAATTAATTCACACAGCGTACGAGTTACCTAAGGTGCGTAGAAAAAAAAGTGATCAAATATGCCGAGATAATCTTAATTGAAATACAAAGCAATTAAGATGACAATGATAAGAATAAAACGTTGTCGAGCGATACTTAAGTTAATTTTAAGCTACAGATTAAAATGATTCTCATGTATATACACGAACATTGGTCTTCTCCGAGGCCGGATAAAGAGGCTGAAATCTTGCGCTCGTACGCACGCTTCGCACGAAAATTCAGCTATGGTTATTCAAGTAAGTTTGTTGATTCAATACAGCAATAATATAGAATAGACCAAACACACAACACAAATCTAGAATTTAACTTCCAGTTTAGATTACACAGCATAGTAGCGTTTTCTGTTTCAACAGAATTCTGTACATACCTTCAAAAAATAATCAAGCCAAAATAACTAATATATGTGGTTTTAAAGTTGCAGAGTCTACGTATCATTACTTCCGAAAGTTTCCGCTTAATGCACTTTATGTATGAAAAAAAAAATTTGCAAATACAACAAATGTGTGATTATAACAAAATTTATTAATTATCATATGGATAGTAAAACGAAGAATAATTCTATTTATTAAAATAATTTTTTTCGATTTGTAAATTATTTTGCTCCAATAACATATTCTATATCTTCTTTTTCTCATTCTCTCTAATTTTGTTTATTCTCAAACTGATATTTTACCAGTGATATTTTTATTGAAAGAAGAGAATGCATTTGCCATGAATAGACTGTTCATTATAATAGCAAATTAATATGAACAAATGTATGCTGCAGAATTTTTCTATTTTGTCAACAAAACAGATTTTATTGTAATATAACGCAAATTAATTATTGTAGCAAAATTTGCCTGCTTTCACATCAAATATACAGTATAGTATACGTAGCAGCAATGATTTTGCTATAATAACTAAATTATTTTTCTCCAAATATATTTCTTTTCGCAATCATATGTACGCGTTTATTATGCGATAATTAATTCTTCCGTTAGGTGGTGTAGTTGGCATCTGTGTGATTTTCGCGATGACACCGTTAGTAGCAAGATTTTTGTACGACGTGGACGCCGTGTCAAATAATACACAGGATGGACAAACAAAATCGGATCATCCTCACCTCAATTACGTGGTTGTCTTACAAATACGATACACCCCACTTTATATACAGTTCACCATATGCGAAATATACTACACAGTAGTATTGGTCTCGATCAATAGCCTGTATTACGTATGCGTTCAGCATTGTTGCGGACTATTTGAAGCTTTGAGGTAAGTTCGGCGGAAATTAAATGTCAAATTTAATCTATAGTTTTCGTGAATTCAAATGATCTGTTTTAAGCACATGCATAGACCTATGCATAAATATGTATTTTATGTTTAATAAATAAACATAATATACATAATTATGCATATATCTATACATTAATAAAATATATATATATATATATATATATATATATATATAGCATAAAGTATTCTTGTTCAATATAACATCGAGCTTTAGATACCATTTGGAAAATGCATTTGAGTTTGGAAATAATGACGACATAATGACGGTGTCCATGCAGAATAAATGTCACTCAAATATCGCATACGGTATTCGAAGACACACAGAAGTGATACAGTTAGTATACGCTTGCACGATAAATAATCAATAATAACATTAATATCTTCGTATATATTACATATTCTCTTACAACAAAAATATTTGGTAAAATATCAGTTGGAGAATAATTAAAGTTAAAGTGAAAAAAGAAAAGAGATGTAGAGTAAATTTGTTAATGGAGCAAATAATTTACAAATCTACAATAATTATTTTCGTAAATAGAATTATTCTTTTTGCAATCCATATGATAACAAACTTTGTTATAATCACATATCTGTTGTACCTGCACATTACAGATTTGCTACGGCTGTAGAATCGCTGTATAGACTACCATTTTTTCTACATATGACAGTTAATGTGTCCCTGTTAAGTATCGTAGGATTTCAGGTAAATTAATTGATAACTAAAGCAGCTTAAGTACAGTTATACGCATGGTAAATTTTTTTAGGTGATAACAAATACGGAAAGTATCAGTAGTCTGATACCAGTCGGCACTTATCTGGGCGGGCTTCTGTTTAACATGTTCTTAGAAAATTGGCACGGTCAAAAAATTATAGATTGCAACGAAAAGGTGTATGATTGCGTGTACGTTTAACAAAATATTCGAAGAATATTTAACGCAAATCACGAATTGCAATAAATTATATTATATATATTACAAATTAAAAAACAAACAAATTATTCAAAAAACAAACGAATTAACTTCACGTTTTTTCAACAAGTTGTCTCAAAAATAAATTCATCTATGTAATAGAAATTTTCAACTAAAACTAATAATTAAAAATAGAATTGGATTTACGACCTTCGAAGGAATGTATAAAGAATATATAATAATTGTACTTGCAGGTACAATATAGAATGGTACAGGATGCCTATAATATCGCAAAAACTTCTGATAATGATCATGTTGAGATGTAAGAAACCACTGACAATAACTGCGGGAAAAGTTCTTATTCTGTCCTACGTGAATTTTAACGCAGTAAGTGCAATGATTCCGTAAGACAAATGCAATTCGATATTAATAACATAAAATTTTATTTAAGGCAGTACGTACAGGCTTCTCGTACTTAATGCTTCTACGATCCATGCAATAAAAATTTGAACGTAACAAAAGCGATTTTAGAGATATGTCAATGGTGAACGTGATTTAGTAACTTATTCATTGACGTACAGAAGATACGTATCTCGTTGTATTAAGCTTTGTATCTTCCATACAAATTTTTTATGTAGCTAAATAAAATTAGGAAAAATTCGCAACTGCTATTATAATAAAGTATTTTTACTTTATTCTTAACTCTCAAATATTCCAATCGCGTCAAGAATATTTAAGAATATTTATATCGATTTTACCGTATATATCATCGTAGCCATGTTATTGTCACTTGTAACTCACGAGTCGTGAAAAAGGAGCTAAAGGTTAACCAATTGTTTGTAACTGTTGTCATCAATAATAGTTTTTGAGCTGCAGCTATCTTCGAATAATCTAAACATAATTGATTATCATATCAAATAATCTGAACGTAAAAATTCTAATTCTTAACTTTTAACTCTAGTGAAAATTGAAAGGTAATTTATAATATTGAAAAGTAATTTATGATACTTTTCAATAAAAGTATATATGTACTGAAACTCAATATATGAGCAAATAAAGTTTTTAACTTCCTTGATATTAATGCTAGGACGAATATTGAATAGTTTGCATCTGTGCCAATATGTGGAACAAATCGATGACAATTCTTTTCACTGACATCACAGAACTGTCATCTCTCAGAGTATACAGAATGTACACTGTTTCGGTGAAACAGGCAGGAAAGATACTTCTTTCAATCGTATGGACAATTTTACATCTCTGTAATTTCGCGATCGATCGCAAATGCAACGCTAGTGATTTCGTAGAAGAAACATGTTGTCAATGCGTGCATGAACACATGGCGATCGACATTAAACGGAATTTTTCATAAGAAAGTAAAAATTGACGTGTTCTATATCACCCTCCCTCGCTCCTCTATGAATTGAATGTGAACTTCGCTCGCACAAAGTAGCAGCAGCGATCGCGGAAAAAGATGCATAATGTCGACGGGTTTGACGAGTTCTTTCGGAAGTTGTACTACAGTAACCTTCGCAGTCTGTTGATCGCATGTGGTATATGGCCTTTTCAAACGTTACGCAAACGTTACGCGATATACATCGGAATCATGATGATTTTTGCCTTCGGAATTACGTTCGAGGTATTTACAAAAAATCAGAGAAACAGTGAACGAACGTTTAATGTTTCCAAAGCTTGTGTACAGGTTTGTAAGAAAAATTGCGTTGCGGTTCTCCTGGATTAATCTTCGGCTCTTATTCTCGTGAACGAGAAATTTTGAGAAATATTTTCTTCTTACTTTTGATATATTTTCAACGCAGAAGAAGCGGAGATTCATCCGGGTAAATCGCGACACATGATTTTTTTAACTCGACCACGCGGAAGTTAGGTATAGACGGTTCGAAAGGAAGAAGAATAGAGAAGAAATGGAGATATACCATCTATATATACAAAGCCAAATACTTTGCTTTCGAAAAGATGATGTGTAAACTTGTA